AAGTAATCATGCCCGACCTGACGGAGGCCTGGAAGTGAGTGCGCGAGGTGGTTATAAAAGGCTTCTACCCCCCAGGGACGAGGTATGCGAACTCTCGCGCTATCTGGTTATTCTTGCCTCTAAAGGATTCTAACTTGAGCTTCGGAGCCCTTACACCGGGTTCTCCCGGAGCTTCTCTTCTCCCATTTCAGGTTCCTGTTACTCACTCTAGAGGCAAGATCGTCAACAGCTAAGACCGGCCAGATTGTGCATCATCACAAACCATGGAGGTTTAAGACTGATCCTACCTTCGTTGATCCGCCAGTCGCTACCAAGTGACTATTATTTGTGTTGAATGGTCCCTCAAGCAGAAAAGAAAGCAATGTTCTAACTCTACAATATTAGATACAATCCCCTCTATCCATCAGGTGCTGTTGGTAAAGTAGAACAGAACTCAACAAAACTCAGCCTTAATCCCAACTATTTGGGGTCAACTGTTTTTACATTCAGCCTTGAAAAGAGGAAGAGAAGAAAGGTTTGAAAGAAATGGGCGGCACACACTTACCGGCCCCCAAATTATCTTTTATATTAGGGCATTAAGAAGGAAAATACAATGACAAATCTGCCCCTGATTAGTAGGCAGTAAGAAACATAAGAAAATACAATATAAACCCACGCCCATGAGGCCCAGTAAGGAGGAAACAGAGATAACTAGCATAATATAAACATAAGAGGGCCCAAGCCCATAGTGTTAGGCTCCACAACAAACTACACAAATCATGTCCTGCCATTGTGCTCTATCAAGGACCATGCTTTCTACTTTGTCATAAAGTAGAGAAAGCCAATAAAAAAGAAAAAAGAGAGCCAAAAAAGCTTTACCATTAGATATTGGGGATGGTAAAAACAAACCATAGTTAGTATATGCATTGGAACTTGAGCTTCGTATATGCATGCACTTGATCCAGAGGCATATATTTTGGCCTCATGCTGGACCAGATGCATACGCCTCGTATGCACAGGGCACACCACCTATAGGCCTTGATGCCTTGATGCCCTGCGTCGTGGTGCAGTTAAAGGCATGTACCTTGTACACGTTAAAACAAAATGTGCTATAATTCAATGATTTTAAACCTAATCTATGTATCCCATTTTGGTGGGATGGTATAACCTTATAAGATACAATTTACAAGTTTTATAGTGCATAATTGTTTTTCTAATATTTTGTAGAGACCCTGCTTCACCAAAGCTTTCTTTTTACCTGTTTGTTTTCTTTTTTGTTAGGATATGGCATATCTTTTTACATGTTTTATTCAATATGTATTTTCACATTTCCATGTAGAAAATATTGTCTACATCATTTTGTTACTATTGTATTTAAATGTAATAATTATACTTTAGAATATTTTAATATTTTTATCTATGTATTTTCTTCAAACAGGATAATTTGTCTTTCCCACTGATTTGTCCAGATTGGAATGCAGACGAAGAGATATTACTACTAGAGGTATTTTATTTTTGTACTATGACTTAGAACTGCTTGCAAGTTGTTTTTTGCCAATTACACATGGTTACATTTGGTTTTTGGGGGATTAATGCTGTATGGGAGTTTACACCTTTTAAATTTGTATTGTATCCTATGTTTAGGGAATTGAAATGTATGGACTGGGTAACTGGGCAGAAGTTGCAGAACATGTTGGTACAAAGAGCAAGGCACAATGTATTGACCACTATACAACTGTGTACATGAATTCTCCATGCTTTCCTCTCCCGGTATAACATTAATTTTATCTGATCAATTATCTCTTTGATTGGCATCTTCACATTAGAACTTATTTGTGTCAATTTTTTATTACTTTTTTGTAGGACATGTCTCATGTTGTTGGAAAGAATAGAAAAGAGCTTCTTGCTATGGCTAAAGGGCATGGTGAGGGCAAGAAAGGTTGGTGATGTTGCCTTCCTCTTACTTTCAGATAATTTATTAGAGACTGCCTTCAGTTTGGGGCAATAGGACCTATGCTTGTGCACAAGGACCCTCTTCACCTGTCACATTTGATATCATTGGTTACTTGTAATTGATAAATTATACAAAGAGGTTTTTGCTATATTATTTCCTCACCTGTAATTGTGTTGGACAACCATTTGATATCATTGGTTACTTGGATTCTAGACATGACCATTGTTTTGTCCCTATTATATCAGTGTCAATTTGAGGCAAGTAAAATACAGGAGCTTGATAATATGCAAATTGAACAAAAATTGACTATGTTGGACATTGTATCATATCCATGCTTTAGAAAAATGCAGGTGCTTTGCAAAAATTATATCAAACTTCCTAAAGTCACTTTGGCTGTATCCAATACATGTTTCAATGTCCTTGTTACATAGACAAAAATAAATCTTGTTGATCATCATAACCATGGCTGTAGTGTTGGTTGACAAGTTTCTTATTGCCAGTAATATCTACAGGCATGACTCATTAAAAAGTTTCTTATTGCCAGTAATATCTGTGGGTATGTAGAATATAGCTAGTTGGATAGCATATGTGCAACTTGTGCAAGGAATAATTCCTCTGGATCTTACCTGCCATAAATAGTTTATGAATTTGAAACATGTTGAACTAAAAATAGTGTAGGAAAAAGACTATGAGCAACTATTGTAGAATTACTGGAGCTGCTATCTTCTAGTCTGTTTGGTAAGAAATGAATGCCCAACTGTTCAAGGAAGAGGCTGGAGCTGCTGTCTTATAGTCTATTTGGTAAGAAATGAATGGCCAACTATTCAAGGAAGAGGCCCATCCTAAAGAACACTGGATTGAGAATATCATGATAAAGGTGATTCGTTGGGTTAAAATTCTACCAAACTTCCACCCCTCTCAACGGATGATCTTTTAAGAGGTTGGCAATTTATTGCCTCTTGCTCTCTGTTTAAATCATATATCAAGCCTCTCCTCTTGGTCCCCTCCCTTTCAAGGTGGCATTAAACTGAATTTGATGGGTGTAGTCTTGGAAATCCAGACCAATCAGGTATAGGGGGATGTTTTTAGACACCATGATGGTACAGTTGCAACAATTTGTTCAAGAACGCTAGGTCATGGAACTCTATTAGAGCGGAATTATTGGCTGTATTCCATAGCCTAAGAGTAGGAAGAGTGCAAAACTACAACCAGGTGGAGGTGGAAAGGGACTCAAAAAACATTATAGGTTAGCTCAAGAACAAGTGTGAATGACTATAATGGGAGTACTGGCATATAATGAGAGATTTGGATATCCATTAGTTTTTGATGGGTTTGCCCTTTCTATGGAGTATATGGTGAAAGAAATGCTAGGTTTTTTCGAGAACAAGGAGAAGAGGCTAAGGGTGCTACTGACATGATGGAAGATTTAAGCAAATTGTTGATTTTCACTTTCTGCTTCTATGTAAATCATAAAGGGCATATACTAATATGTTTCTATGGTTGCTATATTCTGCTGGCTTTGATTAAATGCCATGTGATAGTGATCATCTGACATAACTTTTCATTGTTGAGTGCCCTTGTCAAAATTTGTACTCCCTGAACATGGGCTTATGAATTCTTACATTCATTTGATTGCTGCAGGATTTCCTATGTTTGGGGAACCTATGATAAAAGAAGAGTCTTCATTCTCTCCTTCAAGAATAAAGTATATATTGCCCTTTTTGGCGTGTCTGTTCTTTAATTTGTTTATGGAAAATTCTTTCATCCTAATTTCTTTGGGTGTGCTTGAGCAGGATGGAAGATTTAAGCAAAGAAGCTTCAACAGGCATATCCCCATCTAGCCTAACTGCAGGTAATATGATAGATAGTCTTCATCAGGTGCTCAGTGTTTCTGATTTATGAGGTTGTTTGTTGAAATAATTCAGATAGATCTAGCCATAACAATTGTACTACTATTCGTTTGTCTTCATCAGATATAGATTCTGGTGTTGGTTCTAGCAAGACAAATCCTTCATCAACAGATGCAGTTAAGAAAGCATCAAGCGTGGCTCAGGTCAAGGACAATCATGATCCTATTAAATTGGAAGGTGTGATTTCTAGGGCATCTTTTTCACCTGTATTGCAAGTGAGATTGATGTAGGATTGATGTGATCCAAGGCTAGACTGTTAACAACTTTTGAGGGAAAAGTAAAAAGAAAATATTGTTTTCAAAGGTTTAGGGACTGGAGTAGGAATGTAGATGAGGGGTTTATCTTGTTTTGAGTGCTGTTTGATTTGATCTGAAACTATTTTAGAGTTGAAATTCCTGCAAATGCAAAAGTTTTTAGAGAGAACAAAAAAAATTCTCTAATTTGAGATTGAAATGGAATTTCTTCAAATTGTTTCAAGTGTTGGGGGTAGAAAACTAGAGAAGAGGATTGAATATGGAGGGGTTGTGGTTTGGCACAAAGGAAAAGAGTTCCTGAATTTGAGAACTTTTGAAAACTAAAGGCTATTAATGGGATGACAAGGGACCTAAAATTATGAGGGTGGCTGAATCGAACTTGGATTTCACCAAGATCTGACAAGGATGATTCAGAGTTAGAAATCTCTCTTTCTAGAAAAGGTGTGTGAAGGTTGAGGATGGGAGTAAATTGAGAAGAGATTCCCTGGATCAATCCTATCCTTTATTTGGTGTGAAATAATTAATAATGGGTTTTGATGGTTCTCTCCCAGGTTTTTGGTGTCTGTTGGTGGTTGAACCGAGAGAACTTGCAAAAGAAAACAAGAGAAAAAAAAACCTAGGAATCACTTCTAGGGCTCCTAAAGTCATTCCAGGGCTTTGAGATTCACTCACCAAAAGTCATAGTAGGAAATAATCTCCAAATCTATTAGCTATCATTTTGTAACTTTACACATAACTATCTAGGGCCAACCAAACTCCTTCCTAAACTAAGGAAACTCAAAATCAGGAATCTGCCACCCAAACTCCAACTCAAAGAAAGCTAAATAACTCTTAAACCACTTAACCAATGACTGAAATTTTAAACACAGCTAATAATCAGACTAATAGGCTTGACCCACATAGAATCTATAAAAAGACAAAATTTTCTCTATTACCTAAAATGCAAAGTACATAAAACTCATACCTGTTCATTTGGCACCTGCCATAGAGAGTTTACATTTATCCCTTTGGAATAGCTGGTAATAGTTCAGATGCTAAATTTCTTTGGTTTGAGCCAGGTTTATATGCAGTCATGGCTTCAAAATGACCAGATTAACCAGTAGTGGTGACACTGATAGTAACCTGTAGAGGACAATTATGTTGCCTCAATAAATAATGCAAGGAACTAATGGCAGTATGGCACATTATATTGTAATTAAACCTTTATGATCACTAATAACTTTTTAATGATATATTAATAGAGTAGGAACCATATAATAATATTGGGAGTTTGGGACAGGATCCTAACTGTTTAATGGAAGGAACTAATGTCACATTTTCTTGTAATTAAACTTTTATGATCACTAATAACTTATTAATGCTAATATTACTATAGTAGGAACCATATGATGGCTAATATTGGGACAGGTTCCCAACTGTTTAAAATGAGAATTTACTTACCATTTGCAGTAGAAGGTATAAAGCCAGTCTTTCTAATTCTAAGTTTTCTTAGATTCTCATGATATCATGGTTGTTATTTTCCTTGCTTATGGGGTAAAATTCTGAATTATGAGTTGATGTGAAACATGAAACTTTTGGCATATCTTGTCTTGTGTTGAGGGGCCATTCTACAATTTTCTATGGGGTGGGAAGTGTTCAAGTTCTTCATCTGGAATGTGGTATGAAGCATGGTTTTTTCACTCTCTTTTTGTCTTTTATTTTTTGAACTTCTAATCCCAATTCTCGTAGAATGCCAAACTTCTTTGTCGTTCAATGCCTGTATTTTTTGGTTAATTTTTTTTTTCAGTCAATTTGTGCTTGATTTAACTCCCAAAATCTTTATAATACTTTTCAAAGGAAGGAATTGCAAACAAGTAGTTCTATTAATATGTTGACAGTGTCTTGCAAGGTGCCAACCAGTTGGTAAGGTCTTCTGTTCGTTGTAGCAGAGACTTGGGATCGAATCCTGCCACCTGGGTTGGGGGATGGGCTACCCCTCCATTGTGTAGCCCTTCAGAAGATATAAAAAAAATGACAGTGTCTTAACCAATTCTACCTAGTCCTGTCGATCAGTTGGCCTAGCCAATAATGTTCCTGTTCAACAAATGAGCTGTCTCTTGATAATAGCTATTACTCTATTTTCTATAATTCTGGTTCTTGTAAGTCATAACTTTGGTTGCTACAGTAGTAACTTCTCTCTGGCATATGAAAGAGTTCTCATTCATTTTTGCTATATATTACCAGCAGATTCTCGAGTGGACAGGAGTGTTGGAGGGAAGAAACCTAAAACTTCAGTGGATGAGGGACCTTCTATTATTGAGTTGAGTGGCTATAATCCCAAGAGACAGGAGTTTGATCCTGAATATGATAATGATGCTGAGCAATCTCTAGCAGAAATGGAATTCAAGGATAGTGATACTGAAGCTGAGCGTGAACTTAAGCTGCGAGTTTTGCATATCTATTTAAAAAGGTGTTTACTGTTATCTTTGTTGCTTATAAGCATTGACTGTGCATACATTTATATTTGAACATGAGTGGTTGAGTAATCACGTGACACTGAAATACATTAGCATGGAACAGAATAATTAGACACTAAATAGATTTAAAGTTGTCAAAATCTTACAAATAATGACATGAAGGGTTTCTATTTCAAAATTTTTGTCTGAATGGAAAAATCTTATGATTACTGCTTGATCCTACAATTTGGTTCATAAATCCTATGATTTATATGATTCATGCAATTTAAATCAATTCAATTGATTTCTGATGTTAATTCTGTGAGAATTTGAAGGCTTATATAAGGAAAATCTCAAAGCTGAACTCTGGAATACTTTGAATGTTTAATTCTTATATTGATTTCTGATGTAGTTCTTTTTTGGGTCTCTCTTGTAAGTGGTGGGGAGACCCCTTGTCACCAAATCATTGTATCTTTACTGTTTTCTGAATAAAAAATTTTCTTTATTGATCTCCAAAAAAAAGTCAATTCAATTGATACCTACTTCTCTATTTTGTCATTCTCTTGTTTCTTTTGATTCTTTTTTTCAAGGGGATTTTGTTTTAAGAACCTTAATAGAATCTGATTTGTTTAGGTTACCGACCTATTTTGAGACCTCACTAAATTGATTTCTATCCTATGTTGGTTAAACAACTTTCAAATTAAACTTGGATTAAAAATGAGGTAAAATCAGTTATATCTATTTTTTTTTAATTTTTTTTGGCAAATTTATTTGAAAAGAGAAACAACCTTATGAGTAATGATAGGATTGATGATTTGATTTGATTCAACATTTTCTATGATTTACAATATGCTTTTGATTGACAGAAATTGTTTTTTATTAGTTGGATTCTATATCACTTGGACTTCCAAATGGATGGACTCTGTGTTGAAAATGTTGTCTCACCAATTGTAGCATGCCATCTGACTTTTGACTTTTCCATGGATTCTGGTGCCATTTTCTTTATTTCATTCCTTATTTGCACTACATAAATGAACATCTTACATTATGAATTCTATCTTTTCCAGCAGAAGATTTCTAGACCATAAAGATAATATCATTAGAGAAATGCTGGTAAAACTTGAGCAGCCACCCCTTGGATCCTCAAGGGCTTTTTTGTCAATACAGCTGAAAAAAGGACAAATGTATGAGGGCATTTCGCTAGATAAAAATTCCCGCTATTCCATTCTTCTCCCAGGTTTATTGACAAAAAAGCCCTTTAATGGGTTTTGAATTGCTAAGTGTTCCCATAGTAATACTTAGTCATGCTCTTTTGTATATGCAAATGATATATCCTAGGACATTGCCTTATTTTCTTTCCCAGTGTAATGTTTGTTAATATGCTTTTTTTTTTATGTATATATGCTTGTTAGTATGTGAAAGTAATTGTGATGTATGCAAGATATCTACTGAGATAGTACTAATGTTGGTTGTGAATTAGTTGGCTCTCAACTCTCAAGCCAAAACCAGAGAGGGATCTTAGATCCAAAAAGGGATCAAAAGCTATTATTATTATTATTAATTTTTTTGCTGTGGTTCAAATATATTCAAAAGCTTCTTTTCAGGCTTGATGAGAGGAAGCGTAGGAAAGATTTCATACTGGAAAGGAAATTACTTTATCCTAACCCTTTGGAGAAGGAACTATCACCTGAAGAGAAGGAAATTTATCAGCAGTACAAGGTTTTCATGCGCTTTATTTCCAAAGAAGAGTACGAGGAGTTGATTAAGACTGTAATTGAGGAACATCGAGTACGAAAAAGAATTCAAGATCTTCAGGTATGATGGTGAATGGCTGACAACTGATATGTATCCCCCCATCTCCCCAGGGCTATACTATTTCTGTATGTGAAGTTTGAGCATCATGCGGTAACAGTTCCTTGAAATCAAGGTTCAACACCCGCTTTTTGTTGTCACAGAAATCTGTGGTATTTTTACTTGAACCTCTTAGTTGACCCTAGTAGACTCCCTACAAGTGGCATGCACGTTGATACACATTTGGGTTATGGAATTTGCAACATTACAAGTCCAAATAAGGAATTATGCCTGCATTGTCAACCTTGAGACTTTGGCATTTGAACCACCTCATTAATAAGGGCATTCTATTTTCTGAGATCTGGTTGTATAGAAATGCTTGTAAATGTGCATACTATTTCCTATTCATCAGTTTGTTGTAGGGCCTCCCTTTTACTTTTCAGATTTGCATGAACAAAATGACATCCAAAGTATGCTGTTTTCTTTCTTGTTACCGATAAATTACATACAGAGTATGTTATTATAGATTGCAGGAATATGACTTCATTTCTGGTTTTCCTGAGTTGGTGTACTAGATTTTTTGGGTAATGTATACTAGTCTACTAGATATCTCATATCAATGTTTTTCTTACTAATGAGATAAACATTAGAGACACAAAAAAAGTATTTTTTTGTTGTACTGCTGGGCCTGGAGTCCTGTCTTACCACCCCTCATTTAGCAACTCAGGGTCCATTTGGTTCACAGTTGGAATCGGAATGGTCTATTCCCCTGCCTGTTTGGTTCAGATGGGAATTGGAATTGGATGGAATGGATTCTTATTCTGGGGGGTGGGGGGGAATTGCCATTCCCTCAAATGGGGGAATGCCATTCCACCAAGAATGGGAATCAGATTCCAATTCTGCGCAACCAAACAGTTGGACCGTTCCAATTCCAATTCCAGACCCCTATTCCTGTGAACCAAACAGACCCTCAGTAGCTTGGTTATCTCATGTGAATCGTGGATACTAATATGTGATTCTGAATCTGTTTTGGCATGCACCTGAGTAGGTTTATACACTTGGGTATTGCTATTGTGTATGATGCCTAGGATGACACCTGAGTTTAGATTGCAAGAAGGGTATGGACTCTGAGGTGGGTTTTTGCTGCTTAGGGTTCCAATGCTTCCTAGCTGAAGATGCTTTTAATGGTTGTTTCACCCAAATGGAAAGAAACAAATTGCAGTAAGGAATAAATGAAGAAAGAAAAACAATGTACCTATCAAAAAAAGAAAGAAAACCAAAGAGAAGGGAGGATAATGGGTACTCAAACTATCCAAAACCTCCCTGGGAATGGAATATCACCAAAGCTAGGATGGATAATAGAATCTTACCATCAAGGAGAAGAGTGGCTCTTCTCAGCTACAACAAAGTTGTAGAGCTTAGAGTCTTAGACTTCAGAATATTCATTAAAAGAGAAATGAAAGGGTACAATGCCCTTTATAACAAAAAAGCTAGATTATCTTGCAAAGAAAGAAACAAAGATTACAAAATATACCCAAAATATCCTAATCTTATGTCTTTGAAACCTGCCTCAAAATATTCTACTTCTAGTATATTCTTCCCTGGGCCTGCTGGAGTGGACTTGGCGTGGGCTTGCATAAGGTCCATGAGTTGAGCATCCAGATAGGCTTGTGAGTAAAATGAACTAGGATATGCAAAATGGGCCTAGAATATTGGGTGTGTAAATAGAGAGAAAATCCACCTTTAGTTATGGACACAAAGGTATTAATGAAGTTGTATGGACATGGGCATAAGGCTCACTGGTAGTTGAATCAATCTAACTGCATGAGAAACTGTACACTAAGCTCTTATCCAGATTATAATGTAAACTTTATTTCCACCACACCAACATAAAGGGCCCAAAAGATTATGTCAAAGCTTCCAGTGCCCCTATTTCTTTTCCTTGTTAGAAGTCTTCTGAACTCATGATTGTGTGCTTACACGTAAAAAAAATAATGCAGGAAGCTCGAGCTGCAGGCAGCCATACATCAGCTGATGCAGATAAATATATTGAACAGAAGAGGAAAAAGGTAGCTGAAGAAAGTGCCCATAGAGCAAAAGAAGGTGCTTTGGCTGGTCCAAGTGGTAAAGTACTCCAAAAGACAAATCGGCCCAAAGGAGAACCTGATGGCAGCCCTTGTGGAGGTGTGAAAGGCTCAATGGAATTGGAGAGAGGTGGCAAAGATTTGTTCACTTCAATCTCCTCGGACGAATGGGATATTACTTGTTTTCCTGGATCAGAGCTACTTTCTGAACCTGTGAGTATGCCCTTAGTTTCCAGTAGTTGGATGCCAGATAAGGTTCCTTCAGGTCAGAGCTTCTTTACTAGTGGAGAGGGGTGGATGTCATCTTTCTCTTGAAAGGTCCTGGTATAAAAACAAGCTCAATGCCAACATGGTGGTGGTAGTTTGGTGGAGCCACGTCTCAGATTAGTAGCCATAATACCAGACCATTTGGACTATCCTCGATTGTATATATCAATGGCATTAATTGTAGGTTGGTTTTCCTAGATCACTTACAAGTGTTCTTGGAACCCAGACCACACTGTCCAGATGAATTGTTTGGACCATGAGATGGTCACAAAAATGATTTAGGCCAACTTGTGATAGTTCTTTTTTCTTGGGTCAAGGTTGGATGAACCCCTTTATACACAAAAAAAAGGAGAGAGAAAAAGCTGCTTGAAAATGGGCAACAACTTTGTAGATTGATTTCTTTACCTTTTAGAATCAGATTTTTTTTTTGGTTAAATTTCATTCATTTTGTCCTCCATTAGTTCAATGGTTCAGATGTTCAGCTGAATGGATGTCACTGGACTGTTGATTGCATTTCTGAACTGTTAGGCATCCACTTTGGTTTACCCCAACAGTGAATGAGGTAATGTCATGATGATTTCTTTTCATCTGCTTTCAGTACCTGGGGTCCCCTCTGGAGTCGATAGTGGACCAATCAGTCCAATCCTGAGATTTTTTTTACTGGGTTATTACTTGATCTGGATGGCAAAAACTAATTGGTTTATCCAATAGTGATCTTTATCTCGTGTTATAATTGGCCAAGCAGTACGGTAGTCTGGTTGCATTTAACTTGCCATTTTGTTTCTTTTCCTTAATTGATTTCTCCCTTTAGCTGCATGCATTTAGTTTATTTGTAACATTAGATTGCTGAGTTGGCAGTTATTCTTTGGCAGGACCTACGACTGTGCCGTGAAATCAAGTTACTTCCTTCGCATTATCTCAAAATGTTGGAGATCATCTCCGTGGAGATTCACAGAAGTAACATCACCCAGAAATCTGATGCTTATCGCTTCTTTAAGGTTGAATCAAGAAAAGTTGATAGAGTTTATGATGCCCTTGTAAGAAAAGGTCTAGCTCAACCGCATCCTTGATGATATTCTCGTTCTCTCTTTCTTTCTTTCTTTCTTTTCGGTAAATTCGTTCTTTCATTTCTTGGAATGTAAGATTAATGTGAACTGGTTATATACAAGCAAAGTTCATAGAGTTAATGAATAATCTTCTTCGGTCTTGTCCTGCCAATATGATTAAATCATTCGTTTGCAGTCCTAATTCCATCGTAGATATGCATATCAATTCACTAAACCCAGTTGGAATCCTTGGAGTGAGGCACCTTGGGGATCAGAATCAGATCGTTGGTCCACCAAGCTAAAGGCACAATAGCAATTTCCTTATTCTGCCAGTCCAACTAGTAGTTCATTCAATTTAAACCCTCTCGAGGAAAATGAAACATACATGATGCAAATTAACTAATTTGTCCAACGGATTCAACTTCATATGGAACCCACACGATAAACTGACCTAGCTAGCTATAGTATCTAATATTTAAATGAAAGAAAAGTGCACGGTTTGGAGTCTTGTATTTTGCTGGCTCACTGATGCGGGAAACTTTGGTTGTTGGGGGCCAACAGCCTATATGCTGTCGAGTGTTTTGGGGCTGGACACATTCACTAATTCATGCCCATGTCTATGTTCATGGTCAAAAGGAAATCTGGGCAATTATTATTTTACCCCCACTTTCATGGTAGCATGGCATTCTCAAGAATGTTCTCAACGAGATCGGCTTCCATCAGGGCAAACCTGTGGCCACACTGTTCTAACAGCCTTTTACAATCTTGCATTGGGAATATTTCCCCATGAAATAAAACACATAAGTAAGGAGATATTTTCAATGCAAGGCAGTAAAAACTGCTCGAACGAGCTTTGCCTTGATTGAAGCTGAACTCGTTCTCAACAGCATAGGCTGTTGGCCTCCAACACCCAAAGTTTTTTCTACTGATGCTGACATCCTGGCAGAAAACTGGTGAAAACACACTCCTCAACAGTCAAGAGTAGTGTTTCCAATCCATCCATGATTTTGATGGTCAAACAGTTCAACCCATCACTCAAAAGCCAAGAGGGTTTAGTACAGGCGTACAGTTCTATATATACTATTATAAAAGGTGTAAATTGTTCTCTGCGGTTTTTGGAATTTTTTTTGACTAAAACATCTCTTTTTTTTGAATTTGATCCCTCTCTATTGTGAGAGTGGAAATTGTAATTTGAATATTATTTTTTAATGCATTTCATTACCTCATTAAGTCCCATATTCAAGGCTTTTTATCAAAAAAAAAAGTCCCATATTCAAGGCATTAACTATCATTCTCTCTCATTGAATTTTACACTTGAGGTATTTTTGTATATCATCATTAAATTCTATCAATTAAATCAATGAGCACTGATATTAATAATATAAAACCTATATTTTAAAATCAACTAAAAATAAAACTATTTTTTTCTAGGTGGTAGATTAGTAATTATACC